ATTATAAGCTGACAAAAGAATAATGAGTGAAAATGCGCAGCTGCAACATTCTGAGCTTTCACGTTTTTTCATGTAGGAATCTTCGGTAAGTTTTCTAATGACCATCAGTGCATGGAGTCCTTTTTTTTCAGATAAAAACTAAAGTTAACGAATTGTTAACTATAGTTCACGGTTTGTAAACTATAGTTTACAGTCGATATACGAGGGTTGTCCCGTAAAATCGTGGACAAAGCGTTTTTCTAGAAAAGTAATGGGCGCACTAAGCTGAAAATTTCAGTAAATGTTAATTTATCATATTTAGGTGCATGATAATTTTTTTGATAAAAAGTAGACAAAAATAAACTTTTTATTATGCTTGAATGTGCACGGGGTATTGTCCTACGGAGCACAGACAAAAAACAAGGTTTTATTAAAGAATACATAAGTTTGTATTCAAAATAAAAGTTTTAAATACATAAGATTTGGATTAAAATTATCCTAATTCAATTTCAAAATCAATTTTATAGTCTTTGGAAAAATTTCAAGGCATTTGGTTAATTTTTGGCAGTTTCTCGAGCATTCAAAATGGGAAAGTGGTAAACACAACACGAAAAATTGCGACGTTTAATGACGATACGGCGCACCGGAGAGCAGATCTTTTTTAATTCGATGTTGTGATGACACCTTTAGAGACTTGAAATGACCATAGAAGAAAAAAGATTATAAAAATATCAGCATATCTTAAGTATACATTTGAAATAGAAGTTTTCGTAGTGAAGTCTTTTTTGACTCATTGGGGAGTACAAAACATACGGACGAACTCCTTATGAAATAGCAAAAGACGCTGTCACAGTTAACCGCCGATATGAGATTTTCTATTAGTTGAATGATGGTGAGAATATTGTCCGTAACTTACTGATAAATCTTCAGAAGATCGCATAAGGGTGTCAATTGGTTCTTCGACTGTTTATGGAGACTAAATAATGTGTATCAATGAAATTCCTAAATTTAAATCGGACTCATCCAACTTCATTTTCAGCAAAGAAAAAACGTGGCGCTGTTTTAGACACTTTGACGGTATAATCCAAGGTGAAACAGAACATGGCATAAAATCACATAATTTGTTTATTTATCCTTATATTTATCTGAAATTTGCTGTGTATATTACTAAAATATGTACTAAATAATAGTGAAAATTTCAGGACGCAGTGATGTTTATTTTTTACACTACACAACTTGTCCACGATTTTACGGGACAACCCTCGTACATAGTTTATCAACTGTGAAACTGTGTTTAGCTCCTTTTTATGAAATGTGCCATATAAAAAGCACTTCTACATAATTTTATTGCAAACTTTGAGAATAATATTTTTGAAAATGAAGGCGAACTTATACAGAAGAATTTGCTAAAGTATAATTTTTTTTTCCATTGGCAAATTATTTAAGTCTTTGTGAGATTTTGTAAATTGTAGAGATTTTTTTATTATATGTAAGTATGCTTACATAAGATTAGAAGAAAAATAAAAAAACTGTTGATATAATTGATATTTAATTTTTTATTTCATGTCTGCCGCACTATAGGCTCTTTGTCCCCCTTAATCCCCCATCTTCTTACTATATCATAAATTCTTGATATCCTTGTTTATTTGTTCACAATTAATGAAGATTAACATATTAATCTCAAGAAATACATGTATTTAAAGCTCTCTTAGTAAATGTAAATCATTTACATCGATGTTCCAAGATGTTTGTTATCTCAATATCCTTCATGCATATGTTTATAGCGACGAATGTTTCATTGGGGATATAAACTACTTCCACTAAATATTTGCATCGTAAAATATTTCCAAAAATGAGTATTTAGATTGGTTACAATTCATTTAAAAGTAGTACAATTATTTTTTTTAATTCTACGTTCTACATTAATCTTATGTAAAATAATTAAACACTTTATTTTTTCATGCAAATTCATGCATACAAAAATTCCTTTTTGTTCTAGTACATGTATTTTATTCAACAGAAGTTGTTGAAACTCAGTTGCCTACATTGTATTTCTTTTAAACATATTTATGACATTTTAAGTTGACTTTCTACAGTTTGAGTGTTTCTAATATCTTAATTTGTCTTTGACTAGTTGACTATATTTTTCTAGAATAATTTCTTTTAAACAACATACAAATAAAAAATATTCTTTCATTCTTTTTTTTCATTTCTTATAATAGTGTATTTGTAAATACCTTAAAATATTATTAAGGTGCTGTTTCTAAAGCTGTCCTAAGAGCAGCAGGAAAGACGATAGAAAGAGATTGTCGTAGAAAAGGTGAGAAATGTATTTTTTCTATGTTCCGTTAATGATTGTATGATCCTGGAGCTTTAAAGGAGATTTTGATTATTTTAGAAATTCTGCATCATTTTAAAGTTCCTACATTAAATCTGGATTCTGCAATACAAATAACATATTCCAATAAAAAAAAACGCAATTAATTTCCATTCAAATAGGATGAAGCTAGGAAATTTATTTAGTGGCGGAATTTAATAAAAGAAGAAAATCAACATCTTATGCGTGAAAAGAAGAAAAAACTTGTTGGGCCTTCAACTCGACAATTAGATATATCGACGACGTATTGTCAATTATAGTAATTTCTATTCTTACGTCGACACCATATATATCTTTGTGAGCTTTAGATAAATTATACATAGTCTGACTCATCTGTTTCATACTTCAATATTTTACTTGAAAAAGACGTTACTGGTAATCTAACAACCAGGCTATATGATAAATGTGATGACTTTAACTTTTCTATCGTCATCTTCCCTTATTTTTGCAGCAATATACCTTCATCAATTGCATACGGAGTATATATATCTCAGTTGATTCGTTACGCAAATGCATGCTCTTTGTATGAACAATTTCTAAAACGAGGTAAAGTATTTACAAGCAAACTGACGAAACAAGAATATCAACAGTCTCGCTTAACGTCATCATTTAGTAAGTTCTGTGGTCGATACAATGACCTTGTCAGCAAATACTATTTGTCATTGAGTCAAATGCTAACTGACGTTTTTCATATCAATTGTAAATTCATTATTTATACACCGAATTGACAACGGCTTTTTCCGTTATTTACTGATCATAACAAGGAGCACCGGTCTGCAGGGGATGTTCACTCCTCCATGGCACCTGATCCCACCTCTGATGTTTCGGGGGTCCATGTTTGATCTGCTCCTATTTTGTATTGTTTTATAGACTTTGAGATTGAATATTGTTCGTTATCTCGACATCCTTCTTTATGCTGACTCTGAGATATCTAATAAATATTATGTATTATAGATTTTGTTATTTTATTGTGACAAATGTATATAAACATCTTCTAAAAGTCCAGGAATATTCTAGCCAATTTTAACATAAAATTGAAGCATTTAAGTAGTATCTAAAAGGATGAGGTGACTTGCGGCCCCTCGTATATTGACAAAAAATTAAATGTCTAAATTTTATTCAAATTTTTGTATGTAACTAATCACTGATATGTGTACCTTTATAGAATACTATTTTTAGCAAAAATAGAAACGTGATTTGAAAGATAAAGATCTTAAATTGGGGTAGGGGTATCATGTTAACATTCAATTCCCATTGCATTTTAACCCCGCCCCACTCTTTGAAGCCCTTAAAATATACGAGCGCAGATAGGTACAATTTTCTCCTTTGGCTTGTCACTGTATTTCATTGAAATCTACCTATATTTGAAAGGAGAAAATTGTACCTAACTGCGCTCACATGATATTTTTAAAAAAAATGTAAAATCTAGTTGCCCTTTCCCATTATAAACAGATCGACGGAACTAGATTTTCTGACGTAAGAATGAATTCATATGCTAATCGAGGCACAGGCGATACTTTCTAACTGACCAATCGGCTAAATGAAATTCGTTACGAGTGAGTACCACAAAAATACTATGGAAAAATGCTTGGAATTTTACTGCTTTCCGATGTTTTTTATGCATTTGAGTCATATGTAGATTAGATATGTACCATTTCCGAGACCACAGTAAAATTTATATACAGTTACAAACAATTGATAGGAAATGCATGATAGGCATTAGTTTAAAGTTTTGTAGCGTGTTTGGTGAGCAATTCGCTAGGTCTACACGTATTCCCGAATATCGGTGAATACATGTTTCATGTGCATTTCTTGTCCTAAAAACCATAAATGCTGAAAATCCATGCATATTATGAAGTACATTGTATAAACAGCATTGGCTGACCATTATAAAAGTTTGAAATGTAGAAAAGGATAACAGGTAAATAAACCTTAACCACGTGTCTGCGATAAAATGTAAACGTACTAAACCAGCATGTTTTGTTGTTCTGTCATCGGATTGGGCAATGACTAAGTGCGAAATAATAATAATAGCCATATAACGTCTTCTCGGACACGCATATCCCTCTATTGTACTAAGACCCGCCCATTCTCTTGCCATAAAAGAAAATATTCGCACAAACCTGGCCGAATATAGCTGTGATAGGGTCTAAAAAATCAAAGATAATGCAGTATTCCTTACATGTATGCATTGTGACGTCACGTTTTATTTACCCCCGGCTGAAGTCGGGTGTACGGAAATTTACAACCGCCTTTGTAACCAATGAAAGCTCGTGTTACAAGCTAGATAGGAAATAAAGTTTGTTATTCACCAGAAAAAATATTCATATTGACCGAGGCGGAGCCGAGATCAAATGGATATTTTTCTGGTGAATAACAAACCATATTCAACACCAAAAGAGTCCATAATTGTTTTATTATATAGTCTGGATTTGAATAGATAGACATTGAAGGCTGTATGAGCACACCATTTTCATTTGCGATCTTCCATTGTTGAAAATAAAAAAAAATATCTGGAGATTACTGTTTGCAACCTCCGTGTTTTCCTTTCCGAGTTTCGCTATGTGTAAGACGTCCAAATATTAAATAATAATCCTGGAATAGGTTTGAATAATTGTTTTCTTGCTCAGATACGTAGCTCGCTGCGGCCGTTGCAACCATTGTTTACAACGTTGTTCGATGTTTTGATTGTGACGTCACTATGCCGTTGCACGTGCATTGACCATCCGGTGAATACAGTCTAAAATCCGGTGAATATGTAGTGTTATGAACTGTTTGCGTTTGTATAGATTATATAGGGACTATAAATAGACTATATAATAATAATAAATATTGTTAATGTATGTTGTAGCCAAGTCTTTTTCATCAGGAGAGTATGTTGTTACATCTGGGGGTAATATGAATTGTAAGTACATCATTCATGTGAAAGGCCAGAGATCGACAGAAGGGTGGGAGCGAATGGTGACCAAGGCTCTGACTCATGCTGACAATAAAGGGTGCAGATCCCTATCCTTTCCAGCTCTGGGAACAGGTGTGAGAAATAAAAAAAAAAGATTAATAGCATTTTGGATCCTTATGGCTTTGTGCATTTAGAATTAGAGCCTGAAAGCTAGTGCACTATCCACTTTAGCTTTTCATCATACATTATGATATTTTGCAGCATTCATTAAACAGCAATCCATCAATGACACTATTGCCAATTATTCATAAGCTTTGCAGGTTTGGCTCGTACTTACAAGACATTAAACCCATATCCTTTCTAGGCTAGAAACAGGTCGAGAGAAAAAATATAACTTTAATTGGTGTAATGAGACAGGGATCTTTCGTATGTAATTTAGCTGATTGGAATTAGCGCTGCAATTTTAATTATATATATATAATAATAATAATAAAACCATTTACCATTTTTGTAAAAACTACACAATGAGATGCTTCAACACAAATATCGACCTTTAAAAAGATTTTGATTTGTGTGTGTGTGTGAGTGTGTGGGTGCGTGCGTATGCGTGTGTGTATCAAATAAGTAAAAAAATATTTTGTAAATGTGGAGGTAAAGAAGAAGGTATGGAGTCAATTTAAGTTTTGCCATGTGATTTTCTAAAAAAAATGAAACTGGTGTAAAAGTTGAAAACTCATGCTTTTTAAATAATTGAAATTCAATGCAGAAAAATCAAACAAGTCATTTTTTTCTCACATGTGTTTTTAAATGCTAATCATAATAATAAAAATAATAATAATAATAACTAGATGAGATCTCGTTGCGAGCAACGAGTAGGTCTTCCGTTCAATTTCTCGATAAGATGAGATGTGATTTTGACTGAGATATTCGTAAAAAGAGAATGACATTAAGTTTTCCTTCATTTCTTTTTAAGTTTCTGATTTTTATCACGATATTCTGAACATGTTTTGTTCAATATGGCTTATAAAAATACTCCCTCTTTTCGAGATATAAAGCATCAAAGATATAGCATTTTGGCCCCTTGCAACCACTTATTACGTAACATATGATCAAAACTTTATACATGTAATGTATTGTTGCAAATCATTAAGATGAATATCTTTGCTTCTCATAATGAATACTTATAAAAAAAATTGATCATGAAAGAGTTGAAGATGAAATAGTTTTGACGCCTCTAAGTCCCTAATTTAAGGAGTCAGCCCTTTTTTCTTGATATCAAATGAAAGGTCTTGTGATTTTGAAGATTTTTTGTTCAACACTTATTCAGAGATTTCTATTCGTTGTGGAGATATGCTAAATAAAAATATTTAAGGGTCACTCCTACAAGTCCTCAATGGGGCCGTTTTACAAAAATTCAAAGTATGCATATTACTCAGAACATGATTCTTGCCATCTTTTGTTCAATATTGCTTATCAAAATATTCCCCCTTTTCGAGATATAAACCATCAAAGATTTGACATTCTGGCCCCTTCTGACCCCTAATTACGTAACATATGATCAAAATTGTATCATATATTGTTGCAAATCTTTAAGATAAATACTTTTGCTTCAGTAATGTATAACAGAATATTGATCATTAGAGAGTAATAGATAAAAGACTTTTGGCCCCTTTCAGACCCTAATTTGAGGGATCAGCCCCATTTTCTTGATATCAAACGAAAGGTCTTGTGATTTCAAAGACGTTTTGTTCTACAACTATTCAGAGATTTCTTTTTGTTTAGGAGATGTGCTTTATATAAATATTTAGGGGCCACCCCGACAAGTCCTTAATGGGGCCATTTTACAAAAATTCAAAGTATGCATATTGTTTAGATCATTATTCTGACCATCTTTTGTTCAATATTGCTTATCAAAATTTTCCCCCTTGTCGAGATAAGAAGCGTCAAAGATTTAGCATTCTGGCCCCTCGTGACCCCTTATTACGTAACATATGACCAAAATAGTGTAATATATTGTTGCAAATTATTTATATGAACAACTTTGCTTCTGTAATGTATCACAAAATATTGATCATTAAAAAGTTAAAGATGAAAGACTTGTGGCCCCTCTGAGCCCCTAATTTGATGAGTCAGCCCCTTTTTCTTGATATCAAACGAAAGGTCTTGTGATTGCAAAGACTTTTTGTTCTACAACTATTCAGAGATTTCTTTTCGTTAAGAAGATATGCTTAATATAAATATTTAG